AGATTTGAGTGACAGAATTGGGAATGTATTCAGACTGAGTTGAAGACAAAAGAGATGGCTGATACTTAGGGTGTAAAGGCACAGGAAAGCATTACCTCATCTTCAAATATTCCAAAAAATAATAAATAGATAAAACAAAGTAGATGGTACATCCAGACAATGGAATATTACTCAGCACTGAAAAGAAATAAGCTAGCATATCACGAAAAGACAAGGAGGAACATTCGATGCATATTATTAAGGAGAAAGAAGCCAATCTGAAAAGGCTACATACTATATGATTCCAACTAGATGACGTTCTAGAAAGGCAAAACTATGGAGAAAGTAAAAAGATCAGTGGTTGCCAAGGATTGGGGGCAGGGAGGGAAGAATAGGCAGGGCACAGAAGACTTGCTGGGCAGTGAAATTACTCTGTACAATTCTGTAATGGTGGATACACATCATCATACATTTGTCAAACCCCCCAGAATGCACAACACCAAGAGTGAACCCTAATGGAAACTATGAACTTCAGGTGATAATGATGTGTCAATGTGTGCTCATTAACTGTAATGAATATACCACTCTGGCGTCTGTGCATGTGTGGGGGCAGGAAGTATATGGAAATTCACTGTATTTTCTGCTCAATTTTGCTGTGAACTTAAAATTGCTCTAAAAAATAAAGCCTATTTAAAACAAAGCAGAGTAGGGCCGACCCCGTGGCGCACTCAGGAGAGTGTGGTGCTGGGAGTGCAGCAGCGCTCCCGCCGCGGGTTCGGATCCTATATGGGGATGGCCGGTGTGCTCACTGGCTGAGCGTGGTGCGGCTGGTCACAAAAAGAAAGACAAAAAAAAAAAAGCAGAGTATATCTGAAGGCAAAGGGGAAGGCCCTTTTAGGTCAACAGTCTTCACTGGAGAAAGAGAATACAACCAGCTGAGTCAGCATGCATATCAGTGTGCCCAGAATATCGATTTTGAATGTAATTCTACATCCTTCATCCAAGACTCATATAAGGCACTTTCTTTTTCATACCCAAAGGCCTTTGAATTGATTACATTAACTCCAGACTTGTGACTTAAAGACTGAAGGAAATAGCTTATTTTCTCATTTCTTGAATGCATTTAAAGAACACCAAATGTTAGGGCCAGCCCATGGCTCACTTGGGAGAGTGTGGTGCTGACAACACCAAGTCAAGGGTTAAGATCCCCTTACTGGTCATCTTTTTAAAAAAATTTAAAAATAAAAATAATAATAAAATAAAGAACACCAAATGTTAATAAAACTCTTAACGAGTTCTACTCAGAGTAGCAAAGAAAACTAGTCTAAAGCTTTATTGTTTGGGAACCAAGTAAAACCAAAGTTTACAGCCTTCAAATTCACAGTATTTTAGATAAATACGCAGGACAGTTAAAGGCGCTCAGCTGAATCTAATAGGTTTTTTTCACCCAAGAGGAGAAACAGAGAAGTCGTGGCAAAATGACTGCTAACTGGGCACTTCTGAAAGTCAGCTGCAGATGAGTGCTCTAACAGCTCTCATGACAGATGTAGAAAGTAAAGGGTAATCTCTCACCATCATTCTAAAGTCAACTGGACTCTTCCTGGGTTTTGGGTAGTATGGCAAAGTTATACTACCAAAGAATGTTTGAAGAGAAAGATTAAAACAAGCCTATGAGCACAATGTAAGTTCAACATTTTCTAAAGCAAATTCCTCTCTTGTAGACAAGGACTAGTTAGAATAATCTATCAAAATAAATCGGCAAATGCTAAGGAAAGCAAATAAAATAACAGACAGTATATCAGAAATTATTTTTTTTTTAAATAAGAAAACCAGTTTACACAGTGAAATGCTGTGTTAAGGAAGTTAAAGATTTGTAAAAACACATTATCAATATTTAATTCAAATTCAAGAACAAAATGATCAAGTAAACATTTTCAAAGCATCTGGGAATGGGTATCTTTGCTTCAGGTTCTTCACGTACCCTCTCTTTTAAAAGCTCTTTAATTCCCAATGCACACAAGAAGACAGTTTGTTATCCAAATCAGACAAAACCTTCCTTATGGTTTAAGTAGCACCAGAACTTTTTTGTCTAAGCCAACAGAGGCAGAGAATGACTTCAGTTATAGAAAAGTAGACTACAAGTATGTCAGAGAATTAAGTTTTAGATCATTGTGACACTGAAATTCTTCCAAGGATTAATCTTTTATTAATTGACCCAGCCCATTAAAGTATATTTCTAACCTTAGTTTTGAATTGTCTTATTAATCGCTTCTTGGCCTTTATAGCAAAGATCAAGTGAACTGTCTTCCTAGATAAGATGCTACATTTATTAATAATATTGGTATAATACTAATTTCTTAAAAAGTTGATTTCTTTATGTAATTCACATGCCAGATAAAATACTTCTTCAAAGAAATTACTTAAAACAGGTTAATGAAATACCACAATGACTAACAAGATGGTAATCTTTTATAGTAGAAATTAAATCATGTTTTCCAAGATAGACCTTTACTTTCCTTGCACTGATTTATGTTAACATAAAATCCTACAAAGAGTTTAATACATAACTGCGTCATTCCATAAAAGGATTTGAGGTAGCAAGAGAAACTAACTAGAGTTTAACTATGACTTAAAGGTAATTACTATAGTCAATATTTAATGGCAGAGTAAGTGCTACAACTTTTATGACACACCAGACCATACTGGTATTAAAAAAAGTCAAGGAAAGAAAAGAAAGAGGCAATGACTCATTGATTAGTCTTGGGCTCCATAGTTAACTAACTTACCTATATCTCTTTAAACTCCTCTCTCATCCAATCCACATTTTACGTGAAGCTTTGACAGAGTAATTTATTCCTCCCTTATTAAGCTATCTAACATGTGCAGAGGTAAAAAAAGAAAACTCTGAAGTTGTTATGATACAAACCTGTATTTTTTCTCCAAAATTTCACAAGCTAATTTTAATTATTCTTCCAGTTAACCAAGTTTAGATGACAATAAATACAATGAGACATTATCACAATTGCTACAAATCCCAGATCAAACTAAAATTTTAGCCAGCCCCAACCCACCATCTTATGCCACCCCAGCCAAACAACACTCTCAGGGCACTCTCTGCAGTCTAAACCAAGACATCTCATACTTTAGCACCTGGGATGGCCTTGCCAGGATTCGAACCTGGATCATCTGTATGGTCAGACAGAGGCTTCCACTGAGCACAAGACCAGCTTCGGGTGCAGAGCCCTTCCTCACAAGTAAAATTCTAAAACACCAGACATCTTCAGAGAACCCAGTGTTACTGGGTTTTACAGGATACTAAAAACAGGTTTTACTAAGAGACAGGTTTTACTAGATACCAAAACAGAGAACTTGGGGAAAAAATAAGATCAAGTGAAATGTTTTACAGCTAAAAGATACTTCCACAGATATCATCGTTTGAAACAGGTTTTACTAAGAGACAGGTTTTACTAGATACCAAAACAGAGAACTTGGGAAAAAAATAAGATCAAGTGAAATGTTTTACAGCTAAAAGATACTTCCACAGATATCATCGTTTTTGATCGTAATCGTCTCACAAGATAGGCAAGTAAAGACTGCCCTAAGCTTTCACAGATAAAGTTCCTACAGAGGTGTTAGAGCCAGGACCCTTTTCACAGGACTGGACTGCTCAAAATTATAAGGAAAACCAGGGGTTTTTCAAGAACTTTACCTTGGCATTTTTCTGGATTGGACAAAGCTTTGGACTTTTTTTGAGGCAAATTTACTCGAGGATCCCCAACTGTGAGTCCCAGAATAGTACCTGCCGGAATTTCTGCTGGTGACGTTATTCCTTTAACAGCAACAAAAAAACAAAAACAAAAAAAACTTACAGAAAGTTGTTCATAATATATACATATTTGCTGGTATTTTCAAATCTTTCAGATTTTCTAATGAAACTTTCTTCTTAGGCTATTTAAAAACATATATTCCTTTTTTTCGCACTGATACTTTTAAAGAAGCAATTAACATTCAAAGAATGAAGTTTCTTGCAAAAATATTAAACTAATATCAAAAGGTTATTTTACAACATGAACACGCATGCTTCTATCAGTGATCACTATAGCAGCTTTGAGCAGAAGAGCAATCCTGTGCAGGTAAGCTTAGATTCTAGGTCAGTACCTGGCATATGCATTTATCTGTAATATTAGAATGCCAGTCATTTCGAATACGAACATCTCATTTGTTTGTGGTTTCATAACCAAACATGAATGCAGTGTTCATTCACTGACTTTAGGTACCCTCTTACTTGCTTCTCTTGATGTATCGTAACAAACAGCAGCAAGTTAAAAACCAACATTACATGTCCGAGGCCCAACTGCAACACACTTTTAAGCCATTTCCCGCCCCTCATCCCCTCCCCAATACAACCCTGCATTCCCTCTGTATACCTCCCAACAATTCAAAAACAGCTTCCTGTCTGCGATGAAGGGAAATGCTACCAGGATTCTCACAGGTTTCAATCCACCAACGGTGAGGTGTCTTTTCTGCGTCCTCTCCCCCCTAAAAAATAACAACTCCTATTCATGAGACAGATAATAAATCAGACTTAGTAATTTTGTTATGGTTGTGCTATCAGCCCCCACCTTTTATTTCTGTGTGTGAGAATAGTGTTTTTTGGAGTAGACAGGGAAGTTGCCACTCTATTTCACAGAGTAACTAATACTGGACTAACTACTCTCCTAATCAGAGGCAAAAACACAGTGTTACACTTCTCTCAAGATTTCACACATTAGAGAAAACATCCACGGTTTTCAGAGAGACTCCCTAACTCAGCCACCTCACGCTCGTAGCCTCCCTCGAGCACAGTACCTACAAGACAGGCTGTGTTCCTCGCCCACTACTGCCAACTTCATCACCTCCCATTTAAGCAACAGAACGTTCCTCACCCACCAAAAGAAAACCAAACCAGTACCTTTTGAAGAAATCTTCAGATAAAGAATTTATCACTGCTACAGTATTCCTGGGAACGTCTAATAAGATGTACACATTTTCTTCACATATTTTTTCCTGACTGAACTAGGAATTGAGCAAGGTTTCAAAAAGTACTCCGAGTATCATGTGCGTGCCAAGAAGGGAGTCCACTGCCATGACTCACACTGAAGTCCACTGAAGCGGGAAGGGAAGAAGCGACTTGTAACACAGGCACCATTTACCTCACAGAAATTCAGGTAGCACAGCTTAGTGGTTTAGAGTAAGGTCTGGAAATAAACTTCCTAGGTTTAAATCTTTGCTCCAGAGCTTATTGGCTACCGTACAACACCTTCTCTGTGCCAGGCATTATGCTAAGCACTGGGGACAGAGTAAAGAACAGGACAACCTGTCCTTGCCATCATGAAGCTCACAGTCTAACAAGAGACATGGACATTACATAAATATACAAACAAATCTATACATGTAAATTGAGGAAGTATGCCAGGTGCTCTGAAAATTACAGGAGGAATAAAATTCAAATTAGGGGATCAAGAAAGGATTCTAGAGGAAAGAAACATAGACTGAAATGATACAGATAGAATGATATAGATTGAAACTGGAAGAATGAGGAAGGTTTAGCCAAGCAAAGAGTGATGGAGGCAGAATGTTCATCAGGTGGGAAAAAAAAACAGGTGCAAAGGCTCTGAAGGAGATGAGACTCACACATTCTAGAACCTGATGAGCCAGTGTAGCTAAAGTGCAAAAGGTGAGGAGAGATGAGGCAACGAAGGCATGAGATGACACAGGTCCCATCGAGGGCTCTGGGTTTTATCTTAAATACGATGAGAAGCTATTCAAAAACTTTTAATCAGGAAGCAACGAGATGTGAATAAATTGTTAAAAGACCACTCTGCTTCCTGTGTGAAGAGTGGACTGAAAAGGGAACACTGGAGGAAAGCTAAGAAGCTGCCCCAGTGTTCCAGGTAAGAGACACTGTGGTTGAGACCAGAGTGGAGGCAACGAAGATGGACAGTAGCTTTTGTTTTTTACAGCATCTTTCCTCTAAAAGCTCAGAATCTGTTCAGCTCTATCGACATATTTGACCACGTTAAATCTGTGGGAGGCAAAGACACTGAAAAGTTAACTACACTAAGAAAGGAAAACAGGATCTGATCCCAGAGGCCGGATTCCTAATCTACGTTCTAGACCCGCACTGTCCAACACAGTAGCCACTAGCCACACAGAGTTATTCAAATTTAATTTTTAGTTAGTTAAAATCAAATAAAGGTACAAACACTGAAAAGTTAACTACACTAAGAAAGGAAAACAGGATCTGATCCCAGAGGCCGGATTCCTAATCTACGTTCTAGACCCGCACTGTCCAACTAGCCACACAGAGTTATTCAAATTTAATTTTTAGTTAGTTAAAATCAAATAAAGGTACAAAATCAGTTTCTCGGTCACTCCAGCCCCAATTCAAGAGCCTCATGTGGCTTGTGGCTACCCTACCGCATAGCAAAAAGGAACATCATCCTCACAGAAAGTCTGTCGAAAGTGCTGAACTAGACATATTGTTCTTAACCTTTTTAGGGATCATAGACCCTAAAACTAGCCCCGGAAATGATGCACCCCACAAGTACAAACACTAAAAAACTGGAAGACAATTTCAGGAGCTTTGGGGACTCCCCATAACCCACCTATGGAGCAGAGGTTGAGTCCCTTCTACAAGACTCACAGCTGCAAAGGCAGTCTGTATTTAAATAAGAACTTACGGGCCGGCCCGTGGCTCACTCGGGAGAGGGTGGTGCCGATCACACCAAGGCCACGGGTTCGGATCCCTATATAGGGATGGCCGGTTTGCTCACTGGCTGAGC